GTCCTTAATTATACGCTCGGTAATCCATAATCAAATTTCAACAACAGTGTTTATTAAGTGGCGTAATAAATTAGACAACATCAATTTTATGAAACAGAATATTCTTTAAATTAGTTATATACATGGAAGGTTTTTTCTCTCTTTGGAAAATCTGACAGGTTTATATAAACCTGTCAAACCTGTCTGAATCCGCCCCTGTTTTGTGTGTAGCCTAAATAATCTAGAAGAATAATAAAAACGAAAGAACAAATTGTATGAAACACTCACTAGCAAATGAAAGGAATTGAAATTTGGAATGGTCTCAATTGCCAAGGAAATAGCGTTATAAAAAAAATTATAAACAAACACGCGTTTCATATAGTTTGTTCATTCACCAATCAAACAAAACACGCCTTATACATTGTTTGATTACATTGAATAGCAGTGTACCCAACTTATGATTGAGAAAATGATCTGTTTATTCACGTCAAGCGTCCTTTACAGTTGTTAGTCCTGAATCTTCCAAAGTGCCTTGTGTAAATATTAAAGTGTTATTTCATTAATGGAACCATACTATGCTCAATGGTGGGAACAATCACGGAATGCTAGTCTTTAGTTTCTCATTACGTATAGGTCATCGCTCCAATATATATGAGATTATGATTAGACCGATCTAAATAATTTGAGCGATCCAGTCAAACCGATCTGAGGCCTGTTCTTCGGACTTCTTGTAGTGTCCACACTTGCACAAAAACACATGAATGAATTTGAACCGAATTAACAACTTGACTACCGTTAATTAATAAGCAGGGGGGGGGGGGGTGCCAGAAGAAATGAGCTCGGTTGTAAAACGTGATCCAATCCGAAATCATGCACGTCTCGAGGTGATCTAGTTTAGATCGATCTTGAATCTGCATAGAGGTGGTCTAGCGTTTAGATCGATATCTTGAATCTAATTTAGATCGATCTTGAGTCTGCATGTGATAAATTGGAAGCATTAAATTAATAAGCCCGTATTCTTAGATTTATTCACAATGATAGGGATTTTTCATATTGTAAGCTGTTTGAAAAGACTGGGACGCCGTCGTTGTATATGATAGAAGAATATACATGCAGAGCATATATGCTCAGTATATTATACAAGTGCTTGTATCTTACTATCCAAGTTTATATTTAAAAGATATGTTCAATTTAAGATCTGTATCCTATATTTTTTAAGAGGTATACATACTACTTCTTTTGGTCTTCATTCGTTTAAATATCAAGCTGTAAAATATTAATGGAACTCCCTGCCGGATAGTTTCAGACAATCTACTATATACTTTCAGTAACTTTAGAAACAAAATACAAAAATTAAATTTTTCATAGTTAAATTCATTTATGTACTAGTTAAAACATGAGCGCTAGCTGCCGATCTTTATCTACAAACTCGAGAGTTTGTATATTATCAGATAAAGATCGGATGCGAATGTTTTAATTAACGTGCTTAATATAAAACGACGCATTATGAGTTCATTGGCGAAGTAATTTTAAGTAACTGCTATTTACATATTTACATATTTACATACATACATATATATATACATACATATAGCAATAATTAATTTTAAGATATAAATATATCTTGCTCTACTTTTGTATTAGTGTTGAGCACTTTATTATCTACTACAACAAAACAAATTATATATATATATATATATATATATATATATATATATATATATATATATATATATATATATATATATATATATATATATATATATATATATATATATATATATATATATATATATATATATATATATATATATATATATATAGTGATTAGTTCTCGATTATATAGTTCTCGAAGATATTAGCTAAAATTAGCTACACTGCGGTAAATTCGAGGGCAAATAAAGTTTATGTATGTATGTTTATATATGTATGTCTCAGTTCATTTTTGATTGTCCACATGCACTTGGCCTGATACGGCTGCTCAGAATGGATTTCGGACCGATCTTAAATCGCAATCTGAGTGTGAACGGTGGCATTTTTCAAATTTCAAATATGTTTTGTCCTTGATTTTGACTCTTGAGCCGATATAATCATGCTATCATTAACCTTAACGAAACATCAGGAAATAATCGCACTTGACAACGAGGCCGTTGGGGAGGGGGGGGGCAAGAGTGCAATGTAGTACAGTCTATTGGGTGACCATTTCAATGACTAAATAAATAATCACTTGACAACGAGGCCATTGGGGGGGGGGGCAAGAGTGCAGTGCAGTACAGTCTATTGTGTGACCATTTCGATGACTATAAATTAACAATTGGATAAAATATTCAAGTCGCTTATATGGAAAGTGTTGACGAGTGTATTTTCCGAAAGTCCAGAATTATGATTGACGTTTTGGGAATTTTTTGAGCTAAGAATCCATATTGACTTCAGGATAAATTAAATTACATGAGAAGATCATATAGTTTTATTAGACATGCAGACATGCAGAATGCCAGTTCTGTCGCATTATTTATTAGTTTCATCAAAAAAATTCTGAAAAAGTCATGATGAAAGGTTGGTTAAAACGAGGTGCAATATACTGGCTTTCTAAACCAATAAAAACCCCCCAAAAATCTATTTGGAAAGGTTTTGAAGGCAGTCGAATGTATATGCTTCAAACGATGACATGAAAATTTAACTTTTTATTGCTATTTCAACAAACATTTAAATTTCTCACCTCAAAAATTCTTCCAATCCTCATGGTATGTTGAATTACGTTTCTCCTTCACACTCAAATGTGTAGCTTCACGTGTTTCTGCAAGAAAAACGCATGTAGCTACATGTTATTATTTAGAACAACACCCCATTATACAAATTAAGTATTAGCAAGAATTGACATTTACGGCAGTATAAAGACACGTCCAGTGGCGACATTGCATGTCATTTCTGTCTATTTAAATTATTATTATTGAGAAAATTAAAATCTCGGATAAAATTAAATTATTACCTATAGTAGGTTACGGGAGAAAAAAATCAGGAGGGCTGACAGAAATTTGTCCAACTTTGGTCGAAATTGCCCAACTACTTACAAAAGAGCTATTATATTGTATATATGACCTTTACCCAGTTTTGCCAAATGAAATTTGTGTCAAATCTATATACGTACAGATCTAAGAGTAGATCAGTGTACGTAGTCGTAGCGTCAATATCGATAATCAACCGTCCAAAGTCGTCTCTTTGAATTGCTTTTTACTACTTACTATACGAAGAATGCAACACGGCTGATATTAATGGAGCATGCTATCTAATTAATTTATAGGCGAGATATTCTTGGCACGAAGTAGGTTTTTAAATTATACTATTGGCGTGTTGCACTTCAATTGCACTATACAGTAAAACTTTAGTATAATTATAGTATACCAATTTTAATTAACGATAATTGTATAATTGTATAATTGCATTTATTTGATTAAGTTAATTTTATTAAGGAATTAACAGTTCATTATTTCTTCCACAAAAAACATCCTTTAATTATGACACGTAAAACCGCAAAAATCCAAAAGCATTGCTAAACTAATTCCGTATTCACGTCACGTTTTGAAATAAAACAATCTTTTTTATTAAGTTTACAATTATAACAATTGAAGGCTCCGACTCAACAAGCCGGCTAAATTAAATGCTGCCTGAGGTGATACATTACAACACTATTGAAACTAACGTTTACAGATTATAGACATCATTATATACGTATACATATAAAATTCGCTAAACATGAAAACTTTTAGGAACAACAATTTAACAAGAACGACAGTTAGAAAAAAAATATTCCAAGTTTTTGGTCTATATATCAACATCTAAAGATGCATTTAAGCTCGCATTTAAGCTGTGCTGCAAAGGTTTGGTTGCAGTAGGAAACAGAAAAGGTATTTAATAAAGGCGAGTATGACGCAAAGATATCTTATATACACTAGATAGTGCATCTAATTATTCTGCAATTCAAAAATTGAAGCCGTGATTGCAGACTATTCCCATGAAATGAGACAGTGGTGGCGCCAAGGAGGGGCTAGGGGGGGGGGGCTACAGCCCACCTGTCGGGGAACCCTGCCCCCCCCCCGTCGGGGAAAATTAATAGATTTGTCGGGGAAAACTAAGAAATAAATTTGAAGGAATTCCGAAAAGCACGATCTTGTCGCCATTCTCGTTTTATTATTATTATTATTATTATTATTATTATTATTATTATTTAAAAATATTTTAAAACGGTAGCTCTTCAGGGCTCGTAGGCACCTGTTTTTCAAGAGGCCGTTTATTACAGTATTTACAAGCTATATAAATATAATAATACAAATATACACACAAAAACAGAGAAAACATAACGAACTTAATAATTGCATGCACTGCATTTGTATCTAAAAATATCCTATCCTATTTAAATATTTACAAAGTTACCAAAAGGAATCAAGTGCCGTCAAGAATACGTTTAAATTTGTTAAGGCTAATGCCTTTTTCTTTTGCTGTAGTTGATAAGTCATTCCAAAGGGATGCAGCTGAATAACTGAAGCTCTTTTCCATAAAATTTGTTTCAGGTTTTCCAAGATCATAGTTGTTATTGTTACTTCTTAAATCATATCTGTCATTTATTTTAATTTTGAACATGTTGCAAATTGATGATGGCATTTTTTCGTTTCGTATTCTGTGCATAAAAATCGATTTATTGGTTTTATAACGTTGGTTTAAAAAGGTTGCCAGTCTAATTCTTTTAAAACATCCTCAGAACTAACTTCATAAGTTTTACCAGTGATGATTCGGGCCGCTCTGTTTTGTAATTTCTGAAGTCTGTTTTTTAAGTAATCACAACAGTTATCCCAAACCAAGCTACAATAATCAAAATGTGATAGCACAATGGCATTATATATTTTTACTAAGGTTGATTTGGGAACAAACTGTTTTATTCGTCACATCATTCCTATTCCTTTTGAAGCTTTTGTGACAATATTTTGGATTTGATGATTCCATAAAAGATGTTCATCAATAATTACGCCTAAAGCTTTTGATTTGTGAACCTGTTTAATGACTGATTCACCAAGCTCAATTTTAGGGTCCGTTAGTACTAAGTTTGAAATTTGTTGTCTTGAACCAATAATCATGTATTCAGTTTTATCTTTGTTAAGTGTAAGTTTGTTTGCAAGTAACCATTGGTGTATATTTTCTAAGTCCACGTTAATGCGTTCTTGTAGTTCGTCATTTGTTTTGCCATTGATTGAAACATTTGTGTCATCGGCAAACATGCTTGCTGAAGATGAGGTCAGGCAGTTTGGCAGGTCGTTTATATATAATAAGAAAAGAAGTGGCCCAAGATTAGAACCTTGGGGTATTCCACATTTAACTGTTCTTGTCTTGGACATTGTTTGATCCACCTTACATATTTGAATCCTGCTAGAAAGATAGGACTGGAACCAAGCAAGCGTATGACCTCTTATTCCATGACAATGCATTTTTTTTAACAATATATTATGATCAACACAGTCAAACGCTTTCTTGAGATCCAAAAAAATCACTCCATTTAACAAACCCTTATCCATATTCATTAGCCATTGGTTTGTGATGTTAAGTAGAGAAGTTTGTGTAGAGTGATTTTTCCTAAATCCTGCTTGTTGTTCTGCAAGAATGTGATTAGTTTCAAGATAAATTTCTAGTTGCTCTGTAACTAATTTCTCATATATTTTAGCAACTGAGGATAGAACCGAGATTGGTCTATAATTATCGCAATTAGTTTTGCTTCCAGCTTTATGAATGGGAGAAATGATAGCAATCTTGAAGTCTTCAGGAAATATACCAGTGTTTATAGATGCGTTAAAGATTGCTGACAGGGATGGTGCTATTACCTCAGCAGCGTCTCTTAGAAGTTTACCGGGTATTCTATCATGCCCTACTGATTTAGATGTTTTAATTGTAGAGAGCAACTTATATACCTTAGTTAATGAAACATTTTGTATCGTAAATTGTGTATCGGACCTAGTCACGTATGACTCAAATGTCCTTGAGCTCTGTGGCATGTTATTAACCAAACGAGATGCAACTTCGTTGAAATGTGAATTTAAAGCATCTGCAATTTCATGTTTTT